TAACTTGAAACTTTTCTTTTAAATGAAATTTGATTGTCATTCGAATTTTCCTGTGATAATTGAGCTTCCGCCTAGTCTAATCATTGGAAAAAGTTGGTGCTTTTTCCTTTGTAAATACATCGTTGAGCCTCAATGTGCTCTGCTCTCTACTAACTCTGAAAATAGCGAAAAAATTTATCGTGTTTCCTATATTAAATACACTGTTAGAAAAAACGGTGAAAAAACGGTCCCACTGGCGTTCTAGTGGCCGGTCGCCCGTGAAAATGAACTGTTTCGCCGTTTTTATCAGATGTTTTCCGGATTTCTAGTGTTAAATTAGATTAAAAACGGCGACACAGTGTTTTTTTTTCACGTGCTGACCGGCCACTGAAACGTCGGTAATACCGTTAACGGTAATTTTTCTAACAGTGTACCTGCTACTTGAGAAATCCATGTAATGCCGTTCATGGGCATTGATTTCTTACCGTCATATATACCTACTACTGCAAAATACAAAATAAAATTCAGTTGCTTAATGCGATATGCTTCTTTTACAGGCCTTAATTTTGTTTATCAGGAAGTCCCCGAACAAAAATGCTCATTTTAACGACCATGTAATTAGTGCTTGATTTGTAGGTAAATAAACGCTAATTTTATCGAGCGTTTTTACGTTTTCCATACCTCATGTTCTTTTCAGAAAACTGAAGCTTGATTATTTTTAAACATATACGCAACTATTNGTAAACTATTACCGACATATACTATTACAGACGTAAACTATTACCAACATATACTATTACAGACGTAAACTATTACCAACATATACTATTACAGACGTAAACTATTACAGACGTATTTTGCTTTGTCGCATGGTAGCAGACGTTTGTTTAACTCTACGTTTTGTCAGATGAACAATTTCTCTAGGAAATTATGTGCCATGGTACAGAAGGACCACAAAAACGGCAAAAAATATTATTTCTTGCACTATTCATCGTACAACCATCGGTACGTAACTAGTGACAATATTATGAAGGGTGAGAAATTGGGTGAACTGATGCAATGAACTCCCAATTATTCGTCAATTTTTATGAATATTGCCAGCATCATGAATAATGTGCTAAATTTAATCTTTCTTATTTTTTTGAAAGGTGAACTTGTTTTAAGTTTTCATTTCTTATAATCTTAAATATTCCAATAAATTGTCGTTTACGAAAATTCGAAAATTAGGATATCATTTTGTTATGCATGATTGCAGGTCATCCACATTTCCTATTTTGGTTAAAATTGGAAATACATAGATTTCAATTCAGCCGGCATTTAGGAATTAGTAGGAAGCTTCAAATATTGACAACAGGGTTAAAAAATTTTAGTTTCCTATAATTCTGGTTTTAGGGAAATGAATATTTTCGACTGATGTTGAAGTGCTCGTATTTATTAGACTGTATAGAAAAGGTATGGAAAGCGAACCTTCTATTCAAACGTTATTGGAGTATTGATCCACACAAATCTGAATTATTTGAAATGTACATCAAGTTCTAAATAAATTTTCAACAATTTTCTCTTAAATATTCAGTTCTTCCTTGCATTTATTCGTTCAAATTAGTTAACAATTAGTAAAAGTAATCAAACCCAATTAACTTCCGCCCATTATTTTATTTAGTTATCCAATGATCCATTATGTAAGATTAGAATTTCCAAAATTTGTACAGACTTCAGCGCTTTATCTAATACATTCAGTGCAATGAAAGATGCTATCTAAACTAAAATTTACGAGTCGCACGAGCAGACACCAACAAAAACGCGTTCCCAGATTCCAAGAAACAAGATTCGAAAATTTTTTTGAAAAGCGATATTCTAAGATGGAAGGATTCCGCGCTGCGGAATTTTAAGGACTGAGTATTCTGAAATATCACGACGCGCGTAATTCGGAATTTCACGAGGTACGAATTCATTAATTTCGTGAATAACATATCTCGAAATTAACAGAACACCAAATTATTTAATATTGACTAATAATTTCAAGTCTTCACCATGAATTCCACATTTTTTATTAGTCATGCATTCAAAATTCACACGTACCATCAATTTCACAATCGCCACAAGTACGACCGGTCTACTGGATTTAACATCATTTATCCATCAATAAAAAACAAGATGGAGTCCTCCATTAAAAGTTATATATTAACAATCATCCGCGCTCTTCGGGCGGATGTGAATAGCAGCTTCCAACGTGCCATTACTGTCTCAAAGCAATGTTAAATCTGCCATAATTTATTTATACATTTGTATTTCATTTACTATCATGACATAATTCGCGACGAATATACAAGGAAATAACGAAGATCGAGGTTCAAGTAACGTAAAAGTCATCGTACGCAATATTTTATGACGATATTATATTTGGTTGAAATAAGTGATCGTTCGAAAAAAGGTAGAAGAATTTTATAAAATTAATTTATTAAGAATATATTTTAGTAGCATGGCTCAAACTATAACTAACCAACCATTTTAATGTCACAGTTTCCCTCAGAATATATACTATTAGGTAGTGTCTAACACGTCGAAAAAAACTCTCGCTATTTTTGGAGGTGTCAACTCGGATCATATTAATTCAAATTTTGTAAGTCAATTGTACAAAGGAAAGTTCCAGTATCCGCATTGGTCAGGTCTAAACCAACAGAACAAGCGTCCATCATCGAGGCATAACGGAAAGAGGTTTGTTTTAGCATTAACTACAGCGCGAATTAACCAAATCGCGGCTACGCAAACGTCAAGTAAATGAATTAACATATAAAATAAACTCCACGTCTAATGGTGTACACTAACACTCATTCGCACGAACAACAAATCCACATTGTACCTCCAGTTGAATAATTTCCCCTGAATTTATCATTCACAGGTTATTCTATGTTGTGCCACTAACTGCAGCCGGGACAACTAGCCAATTAGGCAATTACATACCTTAACTGGTTGAATACCATGACAATTACATCAAACCGAACACAGCTGACATCAAACTTCAGAAAATCCCACACATCAGGCACTACTACTCTCATTTTCATCATTATTTCAGACAAATTAACATTGACGTGGTTGCACGTTCAGCATTAGAAGCAACATGTTGCACGTCTCGTCGTAGTCTTCATATCCTAAGCGCGAGTAAAGAACACAGCGGCGATGGTGCTGACGAAGGCGGCGACGATGGGGGCCTGGAAGCATGGTTGAATTAATACTATCATATATATTATAGAATATTATAGAATATATAGAATATATATAATATAGAATATATAGAATATATGATTTCAACCATGCCTGGAAGGACGTAGCAGTGTTGCAGTTGTCAGTGTCGCACTGACACACGTCAAAGAAGTGATCCTCGGAGCGCTGCTGGTAGCAGGTGTAGTTTTCACGTCGCATGTAACCACAGTCTCGCTGGATGCGTACTTCGCCATTTACTGAAGAGAAGTCAAAGACACGAGATTAGGTTCTGCCACAAAATTACTTGCAAAGTTTCAATATGAATAATCTGAAATAACTTGTTATGTGAATTTTTCCTACGAGAAACGTCAAATGAACTGAAAACAGTGTGAATGTTTAGCTGAAAAGCTCAAAGCTTCGTTAATTGTTTCCAAGGTGAATACTCGAGTAAATTAAGTCCGTGTGTGATTTTACTGAATTAGATGAATGTGCTGCCGTGATGCGGGAAGAGTTAAGATGGATGGAGACGGGGAAAATCGAATTGGGTGGGAAAGGAAACAGTGGATTTGAGAAAATGTGGATGAGTAAAAAAATGAACGTAAGTGGGTTTTGGGGAAAACAGAAACGGGAGCAGTGGATGGGAGAGCAGTGGATGGGAGAGCAGTGGATGGGAGAGCAGTGGATGGGAGAGCAGTGGATGGGAGAGCAGTGGATGGAGAGCAGCGGCTGGGAGAGCAGTGGATGGGAGAGTAGTGGATGGGAGAGCAGTGGATGGGAGAGCAGTGGATGGGAGAGCAGTGGATGGGAGAGCAGTGGATGGGAGAGCAGTGGATGGGAGAGCAGTGTATTACGATGAGAGAAGGATCAAGTATCAGGAGAAATAAACAGGAATAAGGAAGGATACGGCCTACGGGTAACATCGAGATAGTGGAGGGGCATCTTATTTTAATATATTTTCTGTAGAAAAAATAGGGTCCTAGTTTAATGATAGTAACGCTATGTCAATGCTAAAAAATTAATTATTTAGAAAAGGTCCACTCAATGAATGTTTTCAGCGCCGTTACTATTTGGCTGTAAAAGTCAGAAATAGAGTATTGCTCTGGCCAGAGATCAGTACAGCCTGTACTGGCAGCCATATTCAATTCATAAATGGCAAATAATAATTCTGCTCAATTCTATTGGAAACACGAACTATTAATAAAGTATTCATACGTTTGAATTCGCCCTGAAAATTAAATAAAATACGAAATTTGAATTGGTGGTATGCAAGTCCACTTGGTAGTTAGTTCTATGGTAGTTTCTCAAGCTAAACTTACGTTTTCTTCTAGTCTAACATAGAAAACTATCAATGAAGTCATGGACTACTGAAGAAATTTTTCTCCAATTCACACGTCTCAATTATACACTTGGAATTGACAATTTTTTTTTTGCAAATGAGAAATGACCATATTCTTAATTGCAGAAACTTTCCCATATGCGCGTAAGACATTGACATCACCCATTGCCCTTCCTATCGCTCTGGACTTTACTTTAATTAACGATAACGTTAAAAAACTTCGCTAATTAACTACTTGTCCAAATTGAATTCTGTGCTGTCAGTCACTTGAAACAATCAGAGTGCGAATGCTGGGTCGTCGGTGGAACTTTAGTTTAGTCGAGAGATTTTGGTTAACCCTGAATCCATGATTGAGTAAATAAAAAGTCGGTATAATTGAACGTAATGAATTAAATTTATAGTTAATCTAAAAAAGCACGAGCGGTGAACTAGAATAATGATTGAATTAGAAATTGCTCAACACTTTAACTCTATTCTATATGAACACTAGAAGTTGACTAAAAAAATTATACTCAGATAAGATGAACAAATCTGGGATGAAATAAAATAAGTAAAATAAGATGAAATTAGATATAACAAAGACAGATTAAGACAAAGGGACTCATCTGGACAATGTGAAAATGAAGAGCGGGAACATAAAGAAAACGGAGCGATGGCAAACAGAAAAATGCGCCATGGTAAACAGAAAATCTAGTTATAGCAAACAACGAATTCAGTGAAAAAAATAATACGGCGTACGAGAAAAATACGATTAGTGAAAGAAAATTCATAGTTGCAAGAAGAAATAACAGTGACTGATAATAAAATACGAAAATGGGAATTAAATGATAGTGATTATCTACTGATAACATGACCGTGTCGAACATGGATGAATGGTGTTGACTGGTAGCGTGCACATTAGTAGCTTGATCACTCACGGAATACTGTGAAAAAAAGAACACGTCGAAAATATTAGTAAAAAAAAACACGCATATTAAGTATTAGAGAGTTGGTGGATTGATTACGATTTCAAAATTGAGAAAAGATATCCAAATTATTAGTCGTGACAAAAAACACGTTATGTATTAGTGAATTGGTGGATTAATTATTGATTCAAACTTGTAAAAAAATGTATATATTAGTGACCATAGTTTTATACACACACTAACTAACTATTGGAAACTTGGCGGATTGAAGACTAATTCAAATTTATAAAAATACGTCGTATATATTAGTGACTAATGATTCACATCTACGTAGCACAAAGTTAGTGGCTTGACGGTAATAAATGCTGAAAAAAATAGCGGAACAATAACCGAATTAAATAGTTAGAAGTTTGATTACTCACACTTAGCTGCGGAAAATTAAAAGGCAGAATATATACACACACACACAAAGTTCATAAAATAGTTAATGTCTCAATCACTCTGTGATTAATGTGAAAGAAATGGAAAATTTGTAACTGTTAGCCACTTAACACATATAACATATTATTGCATTACAGCATTAGTGACACGCATAACGTAGAGTAAAACCCACACTGGAAGGAATGTTACTACATAAACATCATTTCTGTACGTAGAAATACTAACAAATTGGTCTTCGGTAATCACACGATTAAGCGTCTGTGAAAACACTTTCAAACTTTTGTACTAACACCACTGGACTTGTATGTAAACATGAACGTGGTTTGTTCAAATGCTCCAATTTTAATTTAGAAATTATTGTAGTGCGCTGCAAATTCTCCATGCGCCAACATTTCTTCTCGCTTCGAATCACCGACATGTGGAACAGCTTCCCCGATGACATCGTTGGCGCTCCAAGTATGAACGCGTTCAAGAACAGACTAGATAAAGCTATGGAAAAATATATGTTCAGACTTGAAAAGCCTAGCACCATATCGAACCCGGTGGAAGTCGAGTAGCTACTTGAAACTATCGTCAGCCATGAAAAGATCCGGTCAAATGAAACGCTTTTAGATCTTCTGCGAACAGCGCACGAAAAGGTAAAGAATCGGCGACAGGCCACATCAGGCCTACACTTCAGCGCCGCGATCACTATGTTATGTTTAAAAGCGATTGAGAATTGTAGGAACTAGACTACACTACGGAGCTAACGATGAGTTCACGCAGTTGATGATCGCATCACAAAGTTCAAAAAGGGAACTTGAGGTTAATTTAAAAATTAATAACAGGATTAACTTCAACTCAGCGCACAGCCAACGACCACAGTTGACTGATGATCATCTTGTTATATAAAAAAGCAGATAATTACTCGAATACAAGACCATAAATTTTCACACAGATATTGCAACAAACAGAATGGAACAAACGAAGGCAGATATAAGTTCCTTTAATTAACCCATGTATTTCATCTCCAGACTCCAACCAATCGAGAACTTTTCAGTCGACAGTCCCGAATACATATCGTAGTTAGCCTAAACCACTGAACATCTCGCCCACACCCTGCATCCAATCTCTCATCTAACGTCTTTTCCCGCTGAGTATCCCACCATACACACTACATCAAAGCTGCACAAAAAATTCACAAAATATCTTGGTTCCCGTACAAATTCCTCCCTCCCTCAATGCCCACATCACTCGCCCTGGAGCCTGTAACCCTAAAGACTCTAATTTCGTTTCGAACCGACAAGACCCCAATCCTCCCTACACCTTATTTCCCCCTCCACCTGTTAACGGTCCTCCATGCCTCCTACCTCACGACGTTCTGCATACACACCATACCTCACACCACATCTCAGTACCCATTCCTCACTCATCGAACAACCCGGACCACCATCACACTCACATGCATTATGTCCCGGTATATCTTGGTCTTCCTGCGAGAGAAGGTGTTGGTCTCTGCCTCCTACACCATAAAATAAATTCCCGTCTACCTAACCACTTTATGAACATTATATCCCATCACCCCACACCCATACATCCCTTTACTCACATTATATCCCATCACCCCACACCCATACATCCCCTGACTCACTATATACCATCACCCCACACCCATACATCCCCTGACTCACTATATCCCTTCACCCCACACCCATACATCCCCTGACTCACTATATCCCATCACCCCCACACCCATACATCCCCTGACTCACATGACATCTTGGTCTTCCTGCAGAATGCTTTGTAGGTTGCGTTGGGTGCGCAGGCCACAACGAAAGCTTCAGAGAGGGCGGGAGACTCCGCGCTGAAGGGGTCGCTGCAGGCGCTGTCCCTGGCGCTGTTGCACTCAAAGCACTGAATGGCGTAGCCTGCAACACGAGGTTTGTTATTAGAGTGTGTTGTGGCAGCGTGTTGTGGCAGAGTGTTATTAGAGCGTGTTGTGGCAGCGTGTTATTAGAGCGTGTTGTGGCAGCGTGTTATTAGAGTGTGCAGTGGCAGCGTGTTGTGGCGGCGTGTTGGGGCAGAGTGTTATTAGAGCGTGTTGTGGCAGCGTGTTATTAGAGCGTGTTGTGGCAGCGTGTTATTAGAGTGTGCAGTGGCAGCGTGTTGTGGCAGCATTTTATAGTAATTTGTTATGTGAACGTGTAGCGGCGGCGGGGCAACGTGTCGCAGATGCTGTCTTATGCGACACAGTGAAAGCAGGTTTGCCCGCGAGAGCAACCTGCCACAAGAATGAACATAGGATAATAATGTAAATGTTCACAGTGAAAACCTGTAAGAATAGGCCAGCGTCAGACCAATTTATTTCAAATTCAGGCGCCAGCCTAAGCAGGTAACCAGCACGCTGGCAACCTGCTTTGACTGTGTGGGTACGTACCCTATGCGACACAATGAGGTTCGCTAACTGTTTTCCGCTTCACGAACTCCGCGGCTAGTGAAGTATACGTGGGAATACGGCACAATTGCTGCTGGCGCTGCCTCTATTGTATGTAGCTGATGCTCGAAAGTATGGAATTTAACCCAGGATTGAGGTCCAACCGAAGATAAGAGTGCTGCAGATGATGAGGGTTTATAAAGAAAAAAAAACAAGTAAACTCAAAAGATACATGCAAAGGTTTTATTATAAGAAGTATCAGCATATAGCGCCGAATTTTAATGTTAAAAGTCACCTAATGACCAAAGGAGATTTCAGCCGACGTTCGAGGTCTGCGTTGGAATAGATCGTTCGGGTGATTATGGTACCCCGTGCAGACAAATGACGTCGAAACAACGTTCATTATGGGCTGATTTTCTTTAAACGACGCACAATCAACGTCATTTGAAGGTCAGATGCCTGTTGTCATGGACTGACTGCTTCCTTCCTGAGGCGAATTGACAGTCGGCGCTTGAGCCTGGACTGCGGCTAACGTTGGAAAACAGGTTAGGCATGCGCGACTGGGGCGGTCACTGCGCTTTACAGTTTATTTGAAAGACTGCGGTGTCAGAGCCTGCGGTGGTACCAGCACCTGCTGTGATGTCAGAGCCGGTGTGGTACAGAGCCGGTGTGGTACAGAGCCGGTGTGGTACAGAGCCGGTGTGGAACTAAGCCGGTGATAGCATCGCCACTAAGCCGGTGATAGCATCGCCACTAAGCCGGTGATAGCATCGCCACTAAGCCGGTTTTAGCAGCGCCGGTGGTAGCAGCACCGGTGCTATTAGAGTCGGTCACGACGGAGTCGCTTACACCTAAGCCGGCCAATTTGTTATGCAGAAGTCTGTCTTGCGAACGCGACTATTTTGATCAAAAGATTGGCTGCGACGTAAAGCCTATATCAAAAGTTTGTTCCCTAAATTTTAACCCAACTCATGAGGTCATTTAAAGGGTCGACACAGAATATATGACTGTATTCAACAATTGGATACAGGAAAGCAGATGCTTTGGGGTCTAGAACATCTTTATTTCCTTGATGGCTTTCAAGCTTCGCCTTGAAAATAGGCAATACCTGTACTGTTTTTTTTCGATTCCGGCTACCCACTACAGATCCAGCAGAGATTGGTCGACCACGTTTCAGGCCTAAACTATCAGCTCACTCTGGCTCGGGTATCTACCACGCAATCCAAAAACGTAGAAGCTTTTCCACATTTCGTTCATCAAAGTCGACTAAAAAAAGATGCTTCTGTTGGCTCGGAAAAATTTTTTTCCTCTTACAGGAGATAAATCAGGAAAAAAATTGCTTATTCATTTAATGACTCAGAAAAACGGTGCTTTCATAGAGCACCTAAATCTCTCGAGCCTTCGAAAATGACCAATAATGATATCCTAGAAATATTTACACTGTACAGACTCGATCGCAAATTATCTATACAGAGTGATACAATACGAAACTTATTTCATAAAATACTTTTGCCGAGAAGTTAAATCACTGGACATGCTCGATGACGAAGAACGAAGCTGCTTGCAGCATCGAAGAAAGAATGAGTTTCCGGTTTAATTATCCTTCTAGGAGCTGTGCGTCCCGAATAGCGTTGCTTCTCTTACACTAACTGAGAGTCCCGAATAGCGTTGCTGCCCGAATAGCGTTGCTGCACGAATAGCGTTCCTGCACGAATAGCGTTCCTGCACGAATAGCGTTCCTGCACGAAGCGTTCCTGCACGAATAGCGTTCCTGCACGAATAGCTTTGCTGCACTAATATCGTTACTGCACTAATAGCGTTGCTTCACGAATTGGGTTGCTGCACTAATAGCGTTGCTTCACGAATTGGGTTGCTGCACGAATAGCGTTGCTTCACGAATAGTGTTGCTGCACGAATGGCGTTGCTTCACGAATAGTGCTGCTGCACGAATGGCGTTGCTTCACGAATAGTGCTGCTGCACGAATGGCATTGCTTCACGAATAGTGTTGCTTCACGAAATAGTGTTGCTGCACGAATATTGTTGCTGCACGAATAGCGTTGCTGCACGAATAGCGTTGCTACACGACTTGCGTTGCTGCACGAAAAGCGTTGCTGCACGAATAGCGTTGTTGCACGAATAGCGTTGCTGTACTAACACGAACTGAGCATCACTGTGATGATAGGACATGAGTGCAGGTGCAGCGTGTAGAGCTATTTTAAAGAACCATCAGCTCTGCCAAGAACCCTGCCATACACGCTGCTATCATTCATAGTTTCTCACGTTGTCTACATCCACAGTCAAATTATTTTCTTACCTCTTATTCATTGTGTTTCCCTACACCTGATATCAATATTTTCTTCAATGAGGCTCGCATAAAATATAGACTTTCTTCATATAATTTCCGTTATTTATAATTTTTTGTCAGTGTTCACTTCGTCCTTTAGTTTCGGAGATTTTATTTTCACAAATAATACTCCCCCAAACAAAATTCCTTCAATAATCCAATTGGTTGAATTGCATGTCATCGGTCACCTCAATTGAATCATTATAAATCTTCAAAATTATTTTATGATTAATTCTGAACTTATGAATTATTGAACGTTAAATAATTAATACGTGAACATTAGAAATGAAAGAACGGCAAATTCATTTCGACTTAATAGCTTCCACTTATGCCAAGCTTTTTTTATCGTCTGTATTGAAATATTATATTCATACTCGACTTTAATTTCATTTTGAATGAACAAAAAGGTAATTAAGAAATAAATTCGTGTATCTTATCTATTATTATTTTTTATCAATTAATATAAATGAAAAAAAAGGTCAGTAGATTTTGAGAAATTTCACTCATGGACATGTCAGGATATCATCAACGTGTTGCAGTAGGTTAGCTTGTCGGTGTCTCTGCACTGAACAGAATATAAAATAGCAGTGTGTTAAAACTGTATAAAAAAGAGCATAATTAAGTGGCCTTTGGTATTCCACACACGTTGATCAACGAGAGATCGAGTTAATGTTACAGCCTCGATGTGTGCGACGTGCTAAGGGTTTAGGTGTGGGATTCAGCACCGTAGTTTGAGGCCATTGAATGTAAGGACTCAAAACTCAAAATGATGCGAATGAATGTGTAGATAGTGATGAAAGTCAGTATAGTGTTGCAGTCAATAGTGATGCAGAGCCAATAATGATGAGAGCATTTACATACGTCTAGCAAGGTGCAACTTCATGATAAATATGTCATTCCAGTTACTTAAATCACAAACACCGAAGGTGAGTGCATCAGAAGTGAAACTTGATGTCGAAAATTTCATACCGTGTTACGCAAGTCGTATGTAAGATCATTTTAAAACGTGTACAAAGTCATGCACGAAGTTCTGCAAATTGAGCTGGCATGAATTGTGAACTAAATGGACGGGTAAAAACATAAGACTTTAATAAAAACTTTTTCACTGTAATTTAGTGCTCCCAGATATCTAAGTTTGTGATGATAGCACCGTAGAGTATAATTATTATTCTTAATCACAATTCTGGTCGTGTTAAATTTAAGATTTGGTTAATGCATGAGCGCACTAACAACCATTAATTAAGAGTTAATCAACGGTTTGAACTTTTGACATTTTGTCTGAAAAATTGTGATGTGGAAGCTTCTACCTTGGAATTTAATCAGAATATCACTTAACACCGCAGTTGTGCAATACCTTGAAACAATTCGTGAGGTCACTTTGACTTTATGCGTTAATAATGGTAAAACAGAATTGATTTAAGTTAGAAATGGAGCGAATTAAAAAAAAATATATCCATTCACCGATTTTCTAGCCTGATTCACTCCAGAAATGATTTTTTTGCTGAAATTCTTTTTCCGCAGGAGCATCAAGAACATCAGTGGCATTTATCACGATCAGTCTTGTGCAAACGTTGCACAACTGATCGGTGGCTGAAGCTTAAATAAGACGTTGCTTAACCTTTCAGGTTCAAAGAACTCGGCTACAGACGTCAGAAAGGAGTATCCATATCACCCTCAGAATTAATAATAAATTTTTTGTGCAATCTGTAAAAAAATTAAATTTTCTTCAATAAATTTAAAAAAAAATAATAAATGAATTGAATTTTATACCGAAATTTCATACATTGAAAATTTGCTGTTACCCTTCGTGAAAAATAAATTCAACCGACAGCATGAAATCAATGCATGTGCATTAAAGATTACTAAAATAAATGAATAACTAAACTGACGATGGAGCTGGTCTCCGAAACGTTTTCAATAGCAATATGCTAAATTTTTATGGAGTTTTCTTCGCTTTTAAATTTCTATTGAATCTGCGATTCAGGTAATCCAGTGACATTATTAAATGAATAAATGTAATAAGAATTTCTCGCTGGTCGTCAGTAAAACCTGCGTTGAAGAACTACCAAACTAGACATATACAACAAATAAAAAAATAATACAAAATACAAGTTTTTGTGCATTTGAGCGAAAAAAGCATACAGTACGCTGATTGCGAGACGATGACCGGTATACATGACAAGCCTACGGTATGACATTTAAATTTGGATAGCCTGTCGCAAGCTGGCTAGAAAATCCACATGTTTTTTCATGATTCGAATATCCTTACAAAGTCTACACAATCTACTGTAACATCAAATTTTCGTCACTCGTTAAATTATATAAATCTAATATATCACCCCCAAGTATCATAATAGACGTTTAGTAGTAAACTTTTTGTGTTAAAATCTTGCTTGCTAATGTTGCGGATTCCATTCACTTGCGAATTATTCAAAACTCGTACGTTAGTTACCAGTCGAAATGGTAGCCATACCGAGATTCGTTTATGGTACACGCATTCGATGCTGTAAAAATAGAGGCCAAAGCTCGCTATTTTCTTTAATATTGATCGTCTATCGCAGCAATGAAAATAAATGACAATATTGGATAATAGATGAAAAAAACGGCGGATAAATAAGGAAGCATGTGAACGTTGATTAAAAAAATGGGACGTGATGACGAAATTTATACACCAGGGAGCTTCAGTGCATGAAATGACCAGTAGAATTTGAATTGATGAATTCATTAATCCATGAAATGGGTTAAAATTCAAGCTTCACTACCATAAATGCGAAATATCATCTGTAAACGTCGATTTGCAATCATCTATACAATCATACCTCACTTCAATTCTAAGTATAGGAGATCATATGTCAGTCCGATTAATGCGTCAGAATAATGACTGAAAATTCTGGGAAGCTGCTGGACATTTTCTCGTTCACTTAGGTAATTCCATACTTTGTTCTGTGTTTACTCTCATTATTTGGAGCTTGTGATAGAATCTGGTACTGCACAGGAAAGTTTAGGATGTTTTGTTAACATTTTGTTCTGCACAGGAAAGAATTAGGATGTTTTGTGAACATTTTGCAGTGAATAATCATTGATAAATGAATGCATTTTGATGGCAAGGCATGGAAATTAAACCAAGATTCAGTAGTAAAGCACATTTGACATATCCAATCCCAGAGTTGTGGTGACAGCTAATTAAAAGCCAAAAAGTTAGCACGCAATTCAGGTCCGCAATCAAACATCATTTGCTATCCTATATGCTCAACTTGCGTAAGAAAATTATAGCAATGTGCAAGATATGGCATAAGCCGAGGTAAATGCAACGGACCTGGTAGAAGTCCAATAAATATTCAATTCATCGTCCGTTTCAAGGACAAATGGTCTAAAGACCAGTTTTTTATCGCCTGTGAACAAAGCACGTAGAGAAGACAGGCCACACTTAGCCTATTCTTCAGACTATATATACTATAATATACTATATACTAGCGTATACCAGAACCAACACTATACTATAATATACTATATACAAGCGTATACCAGAACCAACACTATACTATAATATACTATATACTAGCGTATAACAGAACCAAAACTATACTATAATATACTATATACTAGCGTATACCAGAACCAACAGTATACTATAATATAATATATACTAGACTATACCAATTTAAACCAGTTCTGCAGATTCCTAGTGCGACCCTCGCTAGTACGCGGAGTGGAGGAATAGCGAAAGTTGCACAACTCTACTGGGGCGACGACCTCGGATATTCGATGCACAAAAAATGCAACAATAAAAATGCACAAACTCTTATTTCTGTCGATTAATTCAGGGATTCAAAGTGTAAGCAAAGATTAACATTACATGATGAGTAGCGACTTGACGCGGTAGTAATTGATATACGTACCATCAGATTCAGTTTTTGTTACTTTGTTGAATAAAAAAATATTGAAGCAAGTTTCATTAAACCAAAATATACCATGAAAAACTCACTTGAGCCCACAACGGCTAGTAGAGTAGCAAAGAAGAAAACCTTCATGTTGACGTAGCTTTTTTATTGGAATGGAAACACGAAAGTGTAAAAAAATCACGCGGACTTCACCGGCACAACCTGTCTCAACAACGTCTTGATTACTACTGGCGACCAACCGCAATATCCGACCAATCACAGGCAAGAGCCGGCACAAAATTATCATTCGACGAACGTAGGAGCATCGCTGCCAAGAGAATATTGTGCAATGAAATTCGTTTTCCTTTTACTAACTACTAAATGCCATGGCACGTATCTGACTTTCGGGATGAATGCACGTGGTGTTGTCATGTCTTCTGTAGGACGTGCCTTTGAATAAATTCACGTTAAAAGTGACGATTGATCAGGTCTTGTTGGATGTATTGGTAAACGGCAATCGCAGTGTGCATGTTAGGTAGTTGAAAAGGTGAGCATTTTTTTATATGTAACGTTCACGAGATTGATGAATGCAATCGATTTAGGCGTGAATATGAAGCGATAAATAATGATGAATGAGGGTACGACAATGTATATGAACAACAATCTGTCAATTTGAACAACAGAAGTAAATAGCTGAATCGAGATGTTTATCATGGACTTTTACGCAAGTTTTTTCTCTCTGCTGTCATATTTGATATTTACCTTCAATAAAAGGCCGGTGGAAGCAATGGTTTTTAATTGCTTGAGTTCCGTGCTGTCAGAAATCACTTGCGTTAGAAGAAATATCCAGCATACATCTTGTCATAGGCCGAGATTCCTACATTGCTTTAATTATGCAAAAACATGGTGCACACCAACATATTAAACATGTATAAATTCCCATGCTAATATTTTTTTAGTGTAATATCATTTTGAAGTGGAGTGGCATTTCCGAGTTCGTGGTAATTCTACGAACAAACTTAATTTCTTAGTAATTAATTAATACCAGATCCACTCTTCTATTTATTTCAATATTTTTATTGTAGAACTAGATATGGAAGAAAAGTTTCATATGAAATGCACTGAATAATCATTTCTTTGGGGAATGATTCCCATATCATTCATACTTATTTCAAAATCTCCCGAGCTGCTATATAATACCCTGCGAATGTGTGTGGTGATCGGATTACAATTCTGTACATGATCTGTAATATTTCGTGTCTATCACGTGATCGAGAATGAATACGGAGAGTCATAATCACGATATTATTAAATTAGGCATGCATGCTTATAACCAACCTAGTCTAGAACAAGGTTCGAGACGTCAATAGCAACATATTGACATGGTTGAAACTTTTTTACGCAGGCTCACTCGATTTTTCAATGGCTATAAATTTTTTATTTGGCTATAAATTCGTATAAGGTAATGTCAAGCCTGCTCCTGACCTTTGAAGGCCTGAATTAGATTTAGCTTTCACTGACGTACTCGTAGCTGTTGCTTAGGCGGGATTCGAGCTAATGTTGTGGCTGAGCGCGCTCTAAACATGTGTTGAATATGTTCAGAACATGTGTAGGACATCACAGTGATGATCTGCAAAATTGCAGAAAATGTGCTGATCATGCGCAGAACAAGTGCAGAACACGTGCAGGACATGTGCAGAATATGAGCAGATCATGTGCAAAATATGAGCAGATCGTGCGCAGAACATGTGCAGAATATCATCGAATATGACCATATCACGTACAGAATATGTGCAGAACATGTGTAGAACACGTGCAGAACATGTGCGGAGCACGTGCAGAACATGGGCAGAACATGTGCAGAACCTGTTCAGTACATGTGCAGAATATGTGCAGAACAAATGTAGATCATGTGTAGAACACGTGCAGAACCTGTTCAGTACATGTGCAGAACCTGTTCAGTACATGTGCAGAACCTGTTCAGAACATGTGCAGAACGTCACTGTAGTGTCGTTGGATTCTCTATCCACAAATCAGTACTTCCAAAAAGGCTGAGAAGCAGAGTAGTTAGATACGAATCAAATTATCATCTTAGATCAGATTACGTATATTAACTTAGTTTGACGTACGGCCACTATACACTTAGTGACCGTACGTCATTACGAGTTAGTTTAATTACATTTTTCAACTGCGGATTTTCACAATTGCACAATTTAATATTACATGCAATCATTTGAATTGATGAAAGGAAAAGTAACGGAACATCACTTGACGTTATGAAGTGAGCACATGTGTTTTGCAACACTAGATTAATTGAGGGAGAATTCGGCGGCGTGTAAAGAAAGAATCATTTACAAAAGCTCGGCTTCAACCGAAATTGCAATATTTCTCTGATAAATTTTCACATCTCTGCTGAAAGTTGTTTCTTTATTGTGGTCATATTGCAATTTCAGGACTCTTTACACATAATAGCTATTTGTTCTTAGGCCCACAGACAATATTCGAAGGGGAAGTTAGTAAATCATTAAGGGGGGGGGTATCGCCTAAAATTTTGGATTTTGGCTTTTCCGGTTAGTAGTCTCATCTTAAAGCTGACATTCTGACCTATCCAACGGTACCATAACCATCTCTGTAGGTTGATTTATGCGTTCACGACATATCGCGAAAGGGTTAGGGGTGGTGGAGTTCTTTACCATTTAAGATACGGCGAAATTAGCTGCCGAGCACTTAAGTAGAGTGTCTGCTTGAGCTGCACTTTAGTTACCCGCCTGGCATCGTATGGAGTGGTCTGTATGCAGTCGTTCCCACCATCCTTGACTGGAATCAAGCTCCAGTTACGTTTAGTTTTGTATCCTTGCTACATTGAGTGCCTATTCCGATGCGCACGGGACTTTGTCGGGCTCTACTGAAAAATTAACTTATTGTCACTGCAAACCTATCTACTCCTACAGTTTTTAAGGTACAGCATTGAAGGATATACCATTCGATTTGTAAAGACCATACCTATCGAGTAACGTAGCCCCTTTTTAGATTTGTGCATAGTATAGATTGAAAATGGGGGGAGGGGGAAAATCAGAAGAAAATGAGAAGAAAAAGGGAAAATGCGTGTAAAAAACTAAGGCAAAAATAGAAAATCGGGCTGTATTACTCGATTGGTATGGTCTGTACGAATCGAATGGTATTCTTTCGATGCTGTAGCTTGAAAACTGTAGGAGGAGATAAATTTTTAAAGTGCCCCCTTTTTCCGTTTTCTATGAATTTCACGTTTTCTATGAATTTTTCCGAAAAAATTATACTAACAAAATGTGCTTGTATTTCTGTTTTACATATATGTATAAAGTTTCAGAAAGATCCGTTAGTAAATGTGGAAGTTTTTCTGGAGGGTATAGCCCCTCTTCAATCGGCCATTGAACCATATAATATTCAGTGAATGCAGCTGTGGTGAATACATCACAACACACCGCGTGTTGTGATGTATGGAAGGGCGTCTCTTCGAAAACATATTATATAATTACAGCGCGATGTACTTTCATCAATATATTATTACAGCGCGATGTACTTTCATCATTATATTATTACAGCGCGATGTACTTTCATCATTATATTATTACAGCGCGATGTACTTTCATCATTATATTATTACAGCGCGATGTACTTTCATCATTATATTATTACAGCGCGATGTACTTTCATCATTATATTATTACAGCGCGATGTACTTTCATCATTATATTATTACAGCGCGATGTACTTTCATCATTATATTATTACAGCGCGATGTACTTTCATCATTATATTATTACAGCGCGATGTACTTTCATCATTATATTATTACAGCGCGATGTACTTTCATCATTATATTATTACAGCGCGATGTACTTTCATCATTATATTATTACAGCGCGATGTACTTTCATCATTATATTATTACAGCGCGATGTACTTTCATCATTATATTATTACAGCGCGATGTACTTTCATCATTATATTATTACAGCGCGATGTACTTTCATCATTATATTATTACAGCGCGATGTNACGTCAGGTCTGCCTACACAACAACTTAACTCCACGTCAGGTCTGCCTACACAACAACTTAACTCCACGTAAGTTCTGCCTACACAACAACTTAACTCCACGCCATGTCTGCCTACACAACAACTTAACTCCACGTTAGGTCTGCCTACACAACTTAATTCCACGTCAGGTCTGCCTACACAACAACTTAACTCCACGTAACATCTGCCTACACAACAACTTAACCTTAATTTAACCCAACAACAGAGACTAGCCGTCAGACACCGCGAACTAAGGTGGGGCTCTCCGCATAGTAAAAATTATTAAAAATTTATTGTTAATAAGCATTAATTTCTAATTATTATAAAAAAATAACAGTAACATGCATAGCATTCAATTATCCATATTACACAAAGGTTATTTAAAATTGAGAAATTTTTATTTTTCGTACGGAAATGCTGCTAGGAATGATACGGTTGTCTGTGTTAGATTTAAATTTAATTCGGCGTACTTAAATTATAATTCGGTGAGAATTAAAATTTAAATACAATCTTCACCGATTAAACGCATCGTTTTAAAATGAAATGAATTTGAAAATTTTAATTTATATTAAAAATGATTGAAAATGTACGGCATTAAGGTGTTTCAAGTACTCATCATTTTGAGAAAGATTTAACGTATGAAAACGACGCTCCTTTGGAAAAAGAATAGAATCTGTATCTTATTATGGCTGAATAAATTGAACTTTGTCTTTATGAGGAGCAAACAACTTTTGATCTTCATTTATGAAGAATTTATATTGATAGGCATATTCAAAATAACTAATTATGCGGTTGCATTCTAAATTTAAAGTTTTGATCGTGCGATTATGCTAAACAGAAATTTTAACATGAGTCGTAAACTAATATTATTTATTATATCTACTGCACTTCTAAGGCTGTGTACCACAACATTCCACGTAATGATAAACACGCCTCACGTATCCTTTTAGCTGCTACTAGCAAATTCAATAAAAACACCCGCGTAGTTATCGGAAAAATATTCAAAATATTAAAATATTTATTTGCGATAATATGCCTGCGTTTGAGATCCAATTTGTATACCACAATAAAATTCAATCAAGCTACAAATGCACAAACGAATCTCATTGAAACGCAAGAGGGTGGTCAGAATACAAGTCCCGTACTACTAATTTCATCACAAATTACATCAGTTCTCAACTTTGACTATATTGTCAACTGCATCTTGAGTCACCCGACGCTCGTTTTTACTGGAAGTGTTGGCAACATCTGCGAGCTGTTGCGCGCGCAGTGTGGCTTGCGTCACTGCGTTGATAAGAGCTCCACGCACCCCGGCTCCTTCCAACGCAGAAACGCCAGCAATCGTGCAACCTGTCGTAATATTTATATATGAATCGATGTTCAAATATTTATCGCTTCATAAAATTGTATTTCAAGAAAAAATTACGCCAGCTGAAATAATAAACCATTTTTAATAATTGCACGTCGATGAACATGGCTTCTATTTATATATTAAAATATTTTCCTATCCAAATCAGATAATTTAAAGGCAAAAAAAAAAACGACAGAAAAATCCATTATATTTTCTTATAAAACGTTTCTAAGACCAGTTCTACCGCCAGTTGTAAAGTTCTCGAACACAACTACAATAAATTTGCACGATCGAAATCAGCTTAATGGATTTTAAAACCTAAATTGACAAGTCTGAAACAGCGTAAATGGAAATTATATTTCTGAAGTCACGATTGTATACATTGTATACATTGCACTACCAGGCATGAGTGCGTCCAGCCGGAAGAGGGAAGATATGTTGGAAAATTTTCGGTTCATCAACTCCTTCCTTTATGCTCCACTAGTCTAAAAAAGTTACGTGACGTCATAACGACGCATGTGAATTTCCGAAGTGACAATTGAGCTGAACTATCAATCATTTTCTAAAGAAATATATAGAATTTTTGCGGTATTTTCCATGCTGATTTTTTCCTTTGTTCTTATATGACAAAAATTAATGTATTGACTTGAAGTTTATTGTGATGATGAAGGTGAAAATTTTCTCTAACTAATGAAAAAATATTTCCTGGCGTATAGTAGATTATAAAATGACTAATTAAATTTCATGATTGAATGTCAAAACATGGTTTCATGGTTAGGGAAATTGATGCTTTTTTAACTGTTAGATTAGTTAATAACTCACTTTGTGTTTTTACTTTGTACCTTTTCATTCAGATTTGTTATTCATATATATTTATTGAGTGGTGTCCCGGCATCGTTCCGTTTATTTATTATACGGAAAAATATGTTCTAATATTTTATTTATTTATATATACATAACATATTGATAGAGTAAGACAGAAGTTCTTCCCTTAAGCAAGTTTTAATTAAGAACAGAGAATAGTCTGGACTTCAATAAAAATAAATAAAATATTAAATGATTAATGTACTACTTACTTCAAATTTTCATGCATTATATCTTTAAAAATTCGCAATTAATCTATTTTCTATTTAAAATTTTCATGTACTGTATTATATTTTTTAAAAATTCACATGGAATCATGCCTGATCACCGAAGTCACTCACCGCCTGGGGAACAGACAGCATCCTTCAGAGCGCCGGGGTGGGAGTCGGACTCAAGGACCATCCGTGCTCCGCCCTGTAGGACAGGAAATTGATGAAGGATTCAAGTGATACCACCAGGCATCTGACGTTGAATCAACGTTGAAATAAACGTTGTATGGTTAAATCAGCGTTAATTTAAACGTTGCTTCAACGTCGTTTGAAATTGATAGGGAAAATGATGAAGGATTTGATAGGAAAATGATGAAGGATTCAACTGATACTTACCGCACATCTGACGTTGAATCAACGTTGAAATAAACGATGTACCTATGGTTAAATCAGCGTTAGTTAAAAGATGCTTTAACGTCGTTTGAAATTGATAGGGAAAATGATGAAGGATTTGATAGGAAAATGATGAAGGATTTGATAGGAAAATGATGAAGGATTCAACTGATACTTACCGCACATCTGACGTTGAATCAACGTTAAAATTAACGTTGTATGGTTAAATCAGCGTTAATTTAAACGTTGCTTCAACGTCGTTTGCCTGTTGGATCAAGAGTTGCTGATATTGTTGATACCGAGTAACATGATGAATAGAATTGAATGGTACATATTGTCCAAATAGTGACTCACCTATTCACCTAAAGCGCGGGCAAAGATCGGATGTTTCATTGATATACGCTCTGTTACCGAGCCAAACTGAGTCAGGACAACTCACACACGGGCAAAAGGCGAATCTCAATTGAAAAAAAAAAACTCGCTCATCTCTCTAACAGCTATGTGTTGTGGTACTAGACGGAATTGGGGATTCATGACTTTAATCGTCCAAATGAATGATTCAATTTATAAATATCAACCACAGGCAGCACATTTTCGTTCAAATATAATAGATTTCATCAGGGAGCGATGTTATAAATAATTTTTAAAATTTAGTGTTATTTTAATATTTAATAATATAACTTTTATCCAACAAAATTCTAATTCGCTTTTTTCTCTCCTTATACAATTTTCGAGCAAAATTTCATAAGAATTGCAATTCTCTGTCTCCATTCTCTGTCTTTCCGTCATTCTCATTACATCCATGATGTTATTTCCCAACGAAACTTTGAAAAATAATCAAACGTAACATTTGAGTGGTAAATGCATTCGAAGCTGAGAATCCGACATTCTGTCAACATATGATCATTAATATCTTTCAAAACTCGCTCAAGTTCACGTAGCGACCGACTTATCGTCTGTGATTGAAGCGTTTATGGTTTGAAGAGCCGTCATTGAATGGCTGACGGAGCTAATACGAACTCCGTCAGCCAATCACTGGCGACTTTTGTAAGTAAACCCGTCCAACCACAGACGAGAAATTGGCCGATACGCATACTTGGGCCGCTACATGTATGTACTTATGTCGCTACGTGTACTTAGGCCACTACTTGTACTTAGGCCACTACGTGTGCTTAGGCCGCTACGTGTACTTAGGCCGCTACGTTTACTTAGGCCACTATGTGTACTTAAGGCTCTACGTGTACTTAGGCCACTACGTGTACTTAGGCCACTATGTGTAATTAAGGCCACTATGTGTACTTAGGCCGCTATGTGTACTTGAACCACTATGTGTACCTAGGTCACTTGGTGTACTTAGGCCACTACGTGTACTTAGGCCACTATGTGTAATTAGGCCACTATGTGTACTTAGGCCACTATGTGTACTTAAACCACTATGTGTACCTAGGCCACTTGGTGTACTTAGGCCACTACGTGTACTTAGGCCACTATATGCACCTAGGCCACTACGTGTACTTAGGCCACTATGTGTACTTAAAGCCACTAAGTGTACTTATGCTAGTTCTGATTGTACGGCCGCTGATGGACAGAGTAACGCACCAGCAAGGTCTTGGCGGCCAGCTTGATGGCCAGCGCTCTGGGCAGACCTTCTCTAACACCCCCGTCCGCCAGCGCCTCGATCATCAGAAATGCGTACGCTGGACCTGCGTGCAAATAAGGTTAACTGTGAGGAGGTTAGAACCGTTTTATGATGGTTAGGCTGGACCTGCATGCAAGTAAGGTTAACTGTGAGGAGGTTAGAACCGTTTGATGATGGTTAGGCTCGACCTGCGTGAAAATAAGGCAAACTCCGAAAATTTCGAACCGTTTGCTTATACAGTGCCGATAAATATTCATTTTCACTAGAATAATGAATTATGTAAATATTTTTGTGATTGAAAATTTATAGCATTTAAATGATGAGGATGAGGTTGAAATTAATAAGGCGATGGGAATGTTTCGGCGGCGGTTTCTGGACCTAAGTATATTTTATTTTTATTTCATGCCACAATAAATACTCATTGGCGTAGAAATTCATGACGGATACGTATCAGGAATGGACGGATTTTGTTGAAATTGATATTAAAAATTCTACGAATTGAACAGAAACGAAATTATGTAGTAAAACGTCCACCAAGGGCAAAATTTGAAGCAGTATTTCGTATATGATCTTAAAGGGCCAGAAAATTCTTGTTGCTCAATACTTGTGAACGGGAATGACTCTTGTTGCTCATTTCATCATTAATAATAGATTCAATTTAAATAATGTTCAATTATACATTTTCCCGTTATGAAGAACCAAGGATGACAGTAAGGCAATTGTTCCATTGAATGATAAACTGGTGCATATAAATGAATTTAAATACCTACTGATGTCTAAATAAAGTCTGAATATACAACAACAGTACGGATAACAACGTATGCACATATACTTTTTCCGCTTCAAAACTCCAAGAAAGCTTATTATAAGTCTCTCCATTTCTTTATTTTGCTTTAAATATGTTCATTTGCTTTATTAAATATGTTTATTTTGAAGTTTGCTTTATTAAATATGTTTATTTAATAAAGCCGACTCACCAGCGCCACTGAGAGCCGTGACTGCGTTCATGAATTTTTCCGGCACTTCATAACAGTCGCCTACCGACGACAGCAAACTGAAAAAGAAGAATACATTGAGCGACCAAAAGTAACATAAATTATTATTGGTAAGTATTGAAATTTAAAAGTAATCAATAATGAACACCAGTATTAATGCTTACATTATTTATGAAAAATATGGCAATTCAAAATGTAATCAAATATTAAACAACTAAAGAAGATAAAATCATTTTTAGAAAATAGGGAAATTCAACAAATGATCTAATATTTAGTTATAAACCTAAGTTTAACTCATTTTTAGAGATACAGAAACTCAAGCCTGTACTGAAAGTACGATCAGCAATAATAAGATGAAATTTGTTGTAAATAAAATATATTAGTGTAAAATACATGTAATTAGTAATAAAATATATTAGCTATTTGGTATTAAACGTATATAATGCTATGATATTATCGGTAAAAATATGGAAATTAAAAATAAAAAAGAAAGGATAAAATAATAGGATATAGGATAAAAGAATCTTCAATAATAGGATAAAAGAAATCTTGATTAAAAATGTATAAATTCAAATAATATAGTAATTTTAATAAAAAGTAATGCGATTCGATTATTATTGAAACATTTTGATAACAATTTTTGATTGCGTTAAAAAATATTCATTAGGTCATTGGCAACAGCATTAAAAAAATAAGATAACTGTAAACTTCAATCAATTAACTATAAAATAAAATGGAATAGCATCGTAGGTATTAATGCTTCATAAATAAAGAATTCATTGGTCAATAAATTTGTTTACGATAACTAGAAAATATATAAGATGCTTGATTACAGTATTTCTAAAAGTTCCAAATACTGAGTCTCCGCAAATGTTCACATTATTTTTAGACTCGAATTCTTTGCTTATTATTAACGACCATTAATCTTTGAAAAAAAAACAATAAATAAAATTCTACGCATTAGCGAGGCCACTTTAACTTAACACATAAAACTATGAATTACGAGTATCTACAATGAATCATCAATAACACATAATCACCCTAGAAATCTTACGTGTTGGCGACTTGAATTCCGTCAAAATTTTTCTATAATAATAGATCAGCATTATTGTTTGGCTTAGACCTTTGATTAATACGAATTACTTGGTCCTAATAAGGACCTTTTTATCTGGATGTTCTACTATAACGAATTACTTGAATAACCTTCAGGTCTCAGCCAAATTTTCGTCCAATAAACTTCTGGTTCGATTAACCTTCTTCTTCAATTATCCTTCCCCTCCGATTAACCTTATGATTCAATTAACATTTTGGTACAAATAACCTTTTTCTCCTATTAAACTTATCTCTGATTAACCTTCTATTCGAAATAACCTTTTTATCCGATTAACCTTATGATTCAATTAACCTTCTGGTCTAAATAACCCTTTTCTCCTAATTAACTTACCTCCGATTAACCTTCTGGTCCTATTAACCATTGGCTACTGCCCGGTTCACTGTGTCATCTCATTAAACCTTTGGTCCGATTAACCTCCTCGTCCCATTAACCCTCTCGTATGATAATCCTCCTCATCCCATTAGCCCTCTAGTCTGATTAACCTTCCCATCCAATTGACCCTCTGGTCAGATTAACCTTCCCATCCCATTAACTTCTTATCCCAGTAAAAGGTCTGGGGTATAAATCATTCCTTCGTATGATGTGGGCATCAGCGGCGGTTGCCCAGGCCGCTGACTAATTAATTAATTAAATAACTTTTTTCTTTCTTAATTTAATTTAATTAATTTCTCTTTTATCTCATGTCATTAACATTTTATCCAAATAAACAGTCTGGGGTATAAATCATACGTGTGTGTGAGGTGGGCATCAGCGTCGGTTGCCCAGTCCCCTAAATAATTAATTAATTAAATTGTTTATTAAATTTTCTATTTCTCAATTTAATATAATTAATTATATTTAATTATTATTAATATCCCAAAAAACAGTCTGGGGTATAAATCATACGTGTGTGTGAGATGGGCATCAGCGTCGGTTGCCCAGGCGCCCCTGCAGTAGACGGATGCCCCAGCCTGTAGCAGGGCAGGCGTGTTGGGCATGCCCCGCACCACGCGCCGCCCCCGCCCCAGCGTCCTCTCCAGCAGCGCCAGCGGTACGCCTGTGGTGAATAATTTATTTATTTTCTGCATTGGTCATGAGAATTTTTTATCTATTGCATGAGCCATGAGCATTTTTTAATTCTTGCATTAGCTATAAGTTTATTTATCTCGTGCATTGGTCATGAGCATTTTTTAGCTCCTGTATTAGCTATACATTTTATTCATCTCAACGTCACTGCTAGACGTCACTGCCGTGTTGCTGTGACTCACTTTGCACCCCATCTCCTAAAATACGGTCAATAATTAAAATTTTAATGCAAAATATAATTAAAAGTCATTCATTCACATATCCAACATTCAAATAGTTGAGTCTTACCTTTATATTTATTTATATTATTATTATATTATTGTCTTACCCTTGTTATATCATTATAGTCTTACCTTTATATTGATTTTCAACATACATGGTAATGTCAGTATCAGGTACAGTCAGAAGCATGAATAAAACAGTTTCCGGAATGATCAGTTCCAGCTAATATTAGTATCAATTAGGATCAGTAACATGTATTATCAGCAAGAAGGATTCATGAGCCATTTACAGGCATAAGCTGTAAATGATATAATAATATAATATAATATTTTACCCTATATAATATAAGAATATATATGGTGCAGAAATTTACGGGTATAACCTGTAATGTTTAACCTGCATCCGCTGCGGCAGACGAAGTTATGATCTGTTACAGGTATCCTCAGCAACTGGTCTTAATAATAACAGTATTTATGTAGGTGTAATTAACCTATGATCAGTTACAGATATCTTCAGTAACAGGTGTTATCAATAACAGGTATCATAAGCAACAGGTGTTAATAATAACAGTATTTATGCAGGTTTAATTAACCTGCATCTGCTGCAGTAAGTGCAGGTCAGCTACAGGTGAGGCCGCTGTGATGTTGGACGCCTGCGTCACGCCTGCCAATTTACACACAATTACTACAGATAATCTCTTATTTATAATCTAATATTTATAATCTTATAATCTTATATTTATAAAATAATCTCTTATTCATATCATATGTGAAGAACAAATTATGCCAAGTTACACACAATTACTACAGATAATCTCTTATTTATAATCTTATATTTATAATCTTATAATTTTATATTTATAAAATAATCTCTTATTTATATCATATGTGAAGAACAAGTTATGCCAGTTACACACAATTACTACAGATAAATAATCTCTTATATATATCTTATATGTGAAAAACAATTTATGCCAAGTTATACACAATTACTACAGATAAATAACATCTTATTTATATCATATGTGAAGAACAAGTTATGCCAAGTTATACACAATTACTACAGATAAATAATCTCTTATTTATATCATATACATATGAAGAACAAGTTATTGAAATGTTATATTCCTTTTTTGGAAGACATTACGTATAAATTTTGTAATTTAAGCGATTTCCAATACCTGTTGCATATCAAACAATTTAATTAGAAAATACTATCTTTCCCAGGTTAGTTATTCAGAAAATAATACGATACTAATGAGTGTTGCAATTACTTTACAATAGTGATGAGCATTTGCATTTATTATTACAGAATAATATTAAAAAACAAATAATTTTGGATAAGCAGAAACTAATCGAGCATGCGTAATCTTAATAACACGAAATGCAAACCGTTTCGCCAGCAATTATAGATTGATGGATGTAAATATTTATTCAAACCAACGATAATTAATTTATGGATCGAATAAATACTTGAATAAATACTTTAAGACTACATTAGGAAATTAGAAAATTGATGGACATTGTGATTGCCATAGATTGCCATTAAATTTTTTACTGCCAACGTTATCGTTAACTGCAGGCGCTCGTAAAACCATCATTACTATTGCGGTTCTTCTTCAGAACGATTTTATTACAGAACTTTTTACTGCAATTGTTCGTGTCTCCAGTCGTATCCTGTAATAATATACGTTGTTTCTATAAATTCCATTGGTATAGATGTATAAGTTCAAGCAGTATTTTACATTAGTTCAAGCAATAAAGATCCATACGTTGAAGGAGTATAGATACGTATGGTAAATCAATATAAATGAAATGCTGATAATTTTAAAACGTATGAACTAAATAATATGGAGAGATTTAACACATATAGTGCGGTATGAAATGCGCCCTGAATACGACATAGACGCAATTAACGTGTTAATCATATATAATTTACTTCAATTAATAATTTATTATTTATAATATAAATTATATTATTTGATCTATAAATTTATAAANCTTGTAAAGACTGGAACCAAAACAAGAAGAAAAGTTAGAAAAAAAGATCGAAAAAACAAACGAATAAACGAGAAAAATAAAAGACGACGGCTACAGCAGGCGTGAGGGAAAAAAATCACTTAAAATATTACTAATAAAAAAAGAAATTGAATAGTGAAATGAAAACGGAATATTGCCGGAACGTCTACCCTCCCGGCTTAAAAAGATATAATTTGTACCTCATGAAAATGAATTGATCACATTGTCCACATTGTGATGCATACATAATCGGCTGTAGCAATGATACGCTCCTTTGCAGGTCCAAACTGGGTCAGGATGACCCCAACCAGTTTCAATAAGTGGGTCAATATTCAGACAAAGTTTCACAAATTTTTCCGAGTGAACGCAGGAACACACTCGGTCCACGTGATGGCGGGGAGGGATGAGGGGTAAAACGGTGAAGATCTCGTGAGGTATGATGTCTCGTGAGGTATGATGTCTCGTGAGGTATGATGTCTAGTGAGGTATGATGTCTCGTGAGGTATGATGTCTCGTGAGGTATGATGTCTCGTGAGGTATGATGTCTCGTGAGGTNTCATACGTGTGTGTGAGGTGGGCATCAGCGTCGGTGGCCCAGGCGCCCCTGCAGTAGACGGACGCCCCAGCCTGCAGCAGGGCAGGCGTGTTGGGCATACCCCGCACCACGCGCCGCCCCCGCCCCAGCGTCCTCTCCAGCAGCGCCAGCGGTACGCCTGTGGTGAATAATTTATTCATCTCTTGCATTGGTCATGAGCCTTTTTTAAATCTTGCATTAGATATAAGTTTTTTTATCTATTGCATTAGCCATTAGCCTTTTTTATCTCTTGTATTAGCTATAGGTTTTTTATCTATTGCATTAGTCATGAGCATTTTTTAACTCTTGCGGTAGCTATAAGTTTTTTTATCTATTGCATTAGCCATTAGCCTCTTTTAACTCTTGCAGTAGCTATAAGTTTTTTATTCTATTGCCTTAGCCATAAGCCTCTTTAGCGCATTTTCTTATTTATGGAAAAAAATGCACTATTGTGCTCGTCATGTCCGTCTGTCTGTCTGTCTGTCTGTCTGTCCATCTTTCCGTGACCTCAAGTTTTCGTCGACGAGAAAATGCGCTCTCTGTCACTCACTGCAATGAGTACTGAGTTATATTTTTTATCTCTTGTATTAGCTATAAGTTTTTTTATCTATTGCATTAGCCATTAGCCTCTTTTATCTCTTGAATTAGCCAAAAGCCTTTTTATTAGCTATTAGCCTTATTTATATCAAGCAATCGCTGTCATATTTATCTCATTAATAGGTCATCGTTGTCATTAAAACGTCTCACGCTTACGTTATCAATAGGATTACATTACAAGGTCTTAGCCATCGATAATATTCATGTATTAAATGACTTGAGCGATCGATACTTGTTGAATTACATGGCTAGAATCATATAATTATAAATAAGTATCTTTGGCTATAACTTAGGCAGCGAAAAGTGTGAGAAGGAAAGGGATACGGACAGCCCCTCCGACAATCCAAAGCTGGACCCTTGAATTGTAAAGATAATGGTTAAGTTAGGGGTTAAGTTAATATTAAGTTAATGGTCCAAGTTGATGGTCAAGTTAATGGTTAAGTTAATGGTCAAGTTAATCGTTACGTTAATGATCAAGGTAATAATGGTCAATTTATTGGTTAAGTTAATGGTCAAGTTAATAGCTAAGTTAGTGGTCAAGTTAAAGATCAAGGTAATGGTTGAGTTAATGGCTAAGTTAATGGTCAAGTTAATGGTCAAGTTAATAATCAAGTTAATGTTTAACTTAATTTTCAAGTTAATAGCTAAATTAATGGTTAAGTTAATGGTCAGGTTAATGGCTAAGTTAATTGTAAAGTTATTGGTTAAGTTAGTGGCAAGTTAATGACAAAGTTAATGGTCAAGTTGATGGTTAAATTGGTTAAGTTAATAGACTCTGCCAAACACCGACCATTTTATGAGTGTTTTTAAAATTGGCCTATATTTTAATATCCATTTTAAAAAATAACTGTCATTAACCATATCTTAACTGACTATATGCACAAATAGCATAGACCAGGGTTGCCAGAATGCCTAAAAAAACGGTAAATTCCGCAAACAGAAAAGGCCCTTAACTCAGTATATACTAGCATATTTGTAGGTTCCCGTGCAAAAATCCCATTTATATGCAGTTTTTTAAATTTTATTACTAAGTATCCCTATAATAAATGTTAGCCGGCCAACGCACTTGAAAAAAAAACTAAATCGCAGAGTCTGTCCGGAAAAAAGAACGTCTGGCAACCCTGTCATAAACGATGGTAAATAGTGAGGTATGATGTCTCGTGAGGAATGATGTCTCGTGAGGTATGATGAGGTATGAAAATCGATGGTGGTTGTATTGTCCAAATAGTGACTTTCACTTTCTGCAGGTAGCACTGATGTGCTTTTTTGCTAGCCAAAATAGGAGAGGATGCCCCACAAAGTTTCAAAAGTGCATCGGGATTTGGACAAAGTGGCCCCCATTTCTCTCCGTATATTGGCATCATACTAATATGGTGGCTGGTGTGGAGGCTGGAATAATTTGGTTTAAAGAGCGGAATGAGGTTAATGAGAAATAAGTTAATGAGAAATAACTGTCAGGAATGAGGGAGATATGCGTAGCTGGGAATGTCTGGGTTAATGTCAAAGGTATACGTGAGAAGAAATAATAATTTGGGAGAGTTCGATATCATTTTCTTTATTTATTTTATTAATTGACAAGCACGTCTAATTGGCAAGTCATTTATAAGCTCGCCTGATTGGAAACTCATCAACAAGTTTTCCTAAGTGACAAGTCATTGCCAATCTAGTCAAATTGACAACTCATTGACACGCTCGCCTAATTAACGATTTATTGACAAGCTCGTACGACTGGCAATTTATTGACAAGCTCGTCTAATTGGCAAGTAATCGATTAACTCGTCAAATTAACAAGTAATTGGCAATCTGGTCTAATGGATAACTTATTGACAAGCTCGTCTAATTGACAAGTCATTGACAAGCTCGTCTAATTGACAATTTATTGACAGGCTCGTCTAATTGACAAGTAATAATTCGTCAAATTAACAAGTAATTGACAAGCTCGCCTAATGGATAACTTATTGCCAAGCTCGTCTAATTGACAACTCATTGACAAGCTAGTCTCGTGACAAATTGCGTGTAATTGAAACTTAGGCAACAATTACTCAAGTCGTTAACATTAGATCTAATGTCGCCAAGTTGCAAACTTTGGAATGGCAGTTAGTGGATAGTGAGGGGATAGTGAGGGGATAATGAAGGGATAGTGAGGGGATANGGGATAGTGAGAGGATAGTGAGAGGACAGTGAGGAGATAGTCAGTGATAGTGAGATGATAGTTAGGGGATAGTGAAGGGATAGTTCGTGACTGATATCCACTAGATAGTGGATAGCAGTTGAATATTTAGTGGTTAATGAATAGGAAAGTTGGAGGATAATCTGTGGATAGTTCGTGCATAAATACTGAATAGTTAGGGAGAAGCACGCTATATAGTTGTAACACTATATAATACGCCATAAGTTGGTATACTGTATATGCGTATTTAGTTAACGATTAGTGAGTAGCTAGTAAATAGTCAGTGTGTGCGCGGTTTATGGACATTAATATAGCGTCAAAAAATATAGACATAAAATATACGAGTATATACGATTCTCCAACGAAAAAAATACATTGGCTGCAGGATTATAGATCCCGCATATACAAGTGGCTAAGCTTTATGCCTTTATGCTAATCAATGATTGCCTGTACAGCATGTGTGATGTTGGCACGATGACGTCACACTTTTTCAGTAAGGGTAGCGTGCTGAAAAAAATATTAAGTTCATATACCAGCATATGTACTAATTAGCATGACGAAGATTGCCAAAATTAAATATTTCCTTTCACTGCCAAGTTATTCTTCTTTGGGTGGCTATTAGTTTTGAAATTTTTCGCATAGCATTAAATCAGCATAAGCATTGAAATAGGCATGACTTTAAACATTCAAGTTCAAGAGCCAAGGTATTTTATCTTAAAAAATTCACGTAGACAGTAAAAATCTAAGTAAAATTATCAATGATGTCGACATGAAAGTGTTGGGCAATATAAAAGTTCGCTCTGTAATAATAGGTAATATTCAATGATTTCTGAGAAACAGCACTTCAAAGGGACTGATGAAATTTGGTGTAATTGGAAAATTCGTGAGTGGTTAATTAAGAGTCCAATTATGGCTTGCAACAGCCATCAGTAGTTAGAGTGGTCAGTCAGAGTGGGCAGTTAGAATGGGATGTTAGATTGAGTGGCACTTACTTAACATTTAGAGTGGCCAGTTAGAATTGCCAGCTAGAGTGCTTTTCCCGTTTTTAGAGTAGACCACAGTGCAGTACTATAAGTACTTTAATTATTTTTGTACATCACTAAATACTCATAATTCATTATTGTACCATATATACAGTATACTCTACGTAATTCATTTCACGATCGTAATAATTATATTTTATATTTTGGCGAAAATTGTATGAAGATTCACATGTACGATTGTTTAGTGATGAGTATCTGTAGTTTTTGTAATAGAACAAGAAATTAAACAAAATTGGATACGGAAAAATGTTTCATAGTATAATTAAAATTGTACACTGCTTTAATTGTACACTTTCTCTAATTATAATTGTACACATTAGACTGTATATACCCAATAGCCCCACCATGTCACTACACAGAGGAGAGAACGCGCATGTTCTTATCTCTGAACCCACACAGATAACTGAGACGTGAGCGAGCTGAGAATGGGCAGTTAGAGTGGTCAGTCAGAATGGGCAGTTAGAGTGGTCAGTCAGAATGGGCAGTTAGAGTGGTCAGTCAGAATGGGCAGTTAGAGTGGGCTATTACATTGAGTGGCAGTTAGACCAATCATTTAGAGTGGGCACTTGTCAGCTGGAGTGCTTTTACCGTTTCTAGACCACTATATAAGTGCAGCTTTTTACTACTAGAAGTACCCTAATTATTTTCAGTACTTCACTAAATAATACTCATAATTCATTGTTAGTATCAATAATTATTAATGTATTAATGCATTATAAGTATTAATTAATTACTCTACGTAATTCCTTTCACGGTCGTGAAGACTACATTTCAGCGAATATTGGATGTATATTCACATGTGCGATTGCTAGGTCATAAGAAGCAGCTATTTTTTTGTAACACACCAACAAATTAAGCGAAATTGGATACGGAAACATGTTTCATAATATAATATGATTTGTACACTGCGCACATTAGACTGTACCCAATGGCTCCACCATGTCACTACACAGAGGAGAGAGCGCGCATGTTCTTATCTCTGAACCCACACAGATAACTGAGACGTGAGCAAGGCTGAGGCTGTCCTTATGAGACGCTACTCTGTACTTCTAGTCTAAGCCACTTACGCCGTTTGTGCACTTGTTGTACATGTACAGGCTACTCTGTATTGCCACTCTAAGCCATCTCCGCTGGTCGTGCACTTGTACATGTACAGGCTACACTGTACTTCTACTCTAAGCCATCTCCGCCGGTCGTGCACTTGTACATGTACAGGCTGCTATGTACTGCTACTCTAAGCCATCTCCGCTGGTCGTGCACTTGTAAGTTTTGGAGCGCAAAACATTGAACAAAAACATTACTTGCAGGAAAATTTTGCGAGAAAATAATGCTTTGAAAACCATTTAATGTATTTATTCAATTAATTATACAATTTATAAATTATAAAATTACCATTATTAAATCACTTTAAAAATATCACATCCGATCAAAATATATTGATTAAAACATACCTGACGCTATGAGGCCTTTGGCCAGCGCCTGGGCCATGTTTCCGGCACCGATGAAACTTATCCTTAGGGGTCCCATTTTTCCTTTTAAATAATTTGCAGGAATGTTACTTAAATTGAAAACGATGATTATTGAATTAGACCTCAATACCTAATAAAAATAAAGGAATAAGAATTATTGCTATCATCATAACACAGCATTTTAAGTTTTCGCTATTCCATACTCGGGTCATACATAATACGCTCCACTTGTCGTTAAGAAAATGTCACAATTTTGATAAATGATCGTTCAATTAATAATCGAGTACAAAATCTCTATGAGCACAATGGTTCCAATTAATAATATAATTAGGAGTCTGATTTTTTCTCTGTTAAGTCCGTTTAGAAAATTATAAAAATTCAGCAATATGGTCGCCAAAAAAAAAGCATTGTTTGCAGAAGTTTAGATTCAGCAGTCAATAACAGACGCTATAAGGTAATTGAGCTTTACTGTAAAATTTATCTTGTCGATACTAAAATTAATCACACTACGCAATTACTGATATATACTTATCCAAATAATGATGCACTTTTAAGTGCCTCAGTGGGTCATCCTAATCCACTTTGGCAGTGCTACAGGGCGTAAAATTGCTACGTACGTAAAATGTGTCAACATGACTAATTTTCAACATGTCTAATTCATTTATTTAAGTGGCAGGTAACCCATCAGGACGAAACACGACGTCTTTACATTGACTTTTCCCGCACTTGTAAAGACTGGAACCAAAACAAGAAGAAAAGTTAGAAAAAAAGATCGAAAAAAACAAACGAACAAACGAAAAAAATAAAAGACGACGGCTACAGCAGGCGTGAGGGAAAAAAATCACTTAAAATATTACTAATAAAAAAAGAAATTGAATAGTGAAATGAAAACGGAATATTGCCGGAACGTCTACCCTACCGGCTTAAAAAGATATAATTTGTACACTCATGAAAATGAATTGATCACATTGTCCACATTGTGATGCATACATAATCGGCTGTAGCAATGATACGCTCCTTTGCAGGTCCAAACTGGGTCAGGATGACCCCAACCAGTTTCAATAAGTGGGTCAATATTCAGACAAAGTTTCACAAATTTTTCCGAGTGACGCAGGAACATGCGAGCGGAAGATCTCGTAAGGTATGATGTCTCGTGAGGTATGATGTCTCGTGAGGAATGATGTCTCGTGAGGTATGATGTCTCGCGAGGTATGATGTCTCGTGAGGTATGATGTCTCGTGAGG